AACTCAGCTTAGAGGGAACACTGGCATTTTATGGCAAGCATTTCTGATTGTAACGGTGGTCGGAGGCAATGTTCCCTCTAAGCTGTGGTGTCTTGTGAGCAAAAATCCTACTCTGTGAGCTTCTGGCATTAAAGTTGTGAGTGAGCGATTGGGCTACTGCATAAATTAGTTTGCTCTGGAGCCATCCTTCCTGAGCTAAGACAGAAATGTGTGAGCCAGAGGCTAAAAAACTGTGAGCTAGTTCACTCTAACTCAGCTTAGAGGGAACACTGGCACTTTATGGCAAGCATTTCTGATGGTAACGGTGGTCGGAGGCCTTTCTCACCAAATAGGGAGGGGTCCATCTCTGAAGGCTTTGGTGTGCTTGGCCACATGCATTCGGGCGGAGTTTAAAGCCCCTTCCAACTCCAAACTCCAAAGTGCTCCTCATAATAATACGGGGATAGGATCAAAGGTCTTTTCCACACTAGACCTTAAATCCCGGTCCAACCTTGTCCCCAAACTTACATTCTACACTACACTCGAGTTCATCCTTGTAATTATCCTGGAGTATTTTTTGTTTACACCTTATATTGAGGTCACCCCAGTTTCACCCCACGATAAACGGATGCTGTTATAACCAGGGATAAATGCAAGGTATTGTGTCCCGAATTGGAACTCTGATAAAACCAGGGATGAGATCCAAGTGCAAAAAGGACAATAAAATCGCAGAGTTGGAAGGGGGCCCTGCAGGCCATCTAGTCCAACCACCTGCTCAATGCAGGATCAGCCTAGAGCATCCCTGACAAGGGCATGTCCAGCCGCTGCTTAAAGCCATTTAAGGAAATATTCATTACTGCTGGGTCTAATAGGGAGCACTTGAAATGGCTGCTGTTGAGGGTTAGTGTCAGGAGTCATTTCCTGCAGGAGCGCACAGGAGCGGAGCTCCGGCAGTAAAGAGCCCAGGGGGCGGGCACATGCAACAAGCCCCACCCCCTGCTCCCAGCAGCCCCCAGTCAGAGCAAGAAGCAGCCAGGTAAGTTGCAGAGCCTCCCTGGTCCAAAACAGTCCCGTGGCACCTTTAAGACCCAGTTTTATTCAGGCACCAGCTCTCCCTCCTCTGCGAGGACAGATCTGCGCGTCCCCCCCCCCCATAGCTAGAAATCCAAAACAGGCCAGTGGAGCCTGAGCGGTGGGTGTTGCCTTCCGACACACTTCCGGTGATGTCAGGGGGGCGTGGCACATGCAAATTAGTTATGCTAATGAGTTATGCTAATGAGCTCCTGTGCCTCTTTTTCTATGAAATGACCCCTGGTTAGAGCAGAAAGTGCCAAAGCAGGACTACAACTGAACATCGAGAAGACAATGGCTGATTTCGCACTAGAGCTGCCTCGATGTTGCGCCGCCGTTTGCCCCGATACTATTGGTCAATTTCACACCCGAAGCTGCAGGGCTGCATTTTGACTCGTGGCTTCACCCGATTTCCCCCGCAGTTTCGTGCTCCTGTTTCTTGAGGATCACGAAACTGCGGAGGAAATTGGGCGAAGCCGCGGGTCAAGTGCAGCCCACAGCTTCGGGTGTGAAAGGGTTGGGTCTGTTTAGCCTGGGAAACAGAAGGCTTAGAAGGGACATGATTGCAGTCTTCAAGTATCTGAAGGGCTGTCCTGTAGAAGAGGGAGCAGATCTGTTCTCTCTTGCTCCAGATTGCAAGACTAGATCTAATGGGTGGAAGTTACAAGGGAGTCGATACCAGCTAAATATCAGGATAAACTTCGTAACTGTGAGAGTGGTTGAGCAGTGGAACAGTCTGCCTCGGGAGGTGGTGGAGGCTCCTTTGCTGGACGTTTTCAAGCAGAGCCTGGACAACCATCTTTCGGGTATGTTGTAGAGCTCTCTTTCGGCTCTGCTCCTGCAGAGTGCCCTAGATGACCTGCAAGGTGCCTTCCAACTCTTAACATTCTATGATTCTATGATTTAAGGTCTAGTGTGGAAAGGACCACTGACTCAGTCAAGGAAGCCACAGAGGCCCCCCAGTTTGCAAGGGCTGAGCAAGGCTCTTAATGGTAGGGCATTTTGGTGGTCATGAATTCCTAGGGTCGCCTGGAGTCGGACACAACTTGATGGCCCTTCACACGCACACAGCTGGAAGAGGCTGAACTTGATGACCCTTGAGGTCCTTTCCCAAGTTTGTAATTCTGTAATCACCGCAGTCACATAAATCTTAGTGGCCCATTGCACAAGATGCTGGAGCCAAGTTGAAATCCCACCTCTGTTTTTTTTTAAATATGCAAATGATAAACTATTTTCTACAGCTGTCGGGAGATTAGATAGAATAAGGACTGTGCAACAGCCTCACCCTAAAATATATAGAATCATAGAATGTCAGAGTAGGACCTTGCAGGTCATCTAGTCCAACCCCCCCGCACTCTGCAGGAGTGTAGCTGAAAGAGAGCCCTACAACATACCCAAAAGATGGTCGTTTAGCCTCCGCTTGAAGAGCGGCAGGGGGCACCCTCCTTCTCCCTGTGAGGTGTGTGGTGAGGACATCGGCAGTGGCGGCAGAGCAATGGCGAGGCGATCCCTGCTGGCCGGTGGAAATAACATCGTGTGGCGAGCCCGATGACGAAGGGAGAAGGAGGCGGAGTCACGGAGTCACGGAGGAGCATGGTAGCATGGAAGCGCAGGCGCGGCGGAGCCAGATGTGGATGTAAAGCCAACTGTGACGGACACGGGCTGCGCTCCGAGGAGACCACCGAAGCTGAAAGAAACCTGCTCTTGGACGCCAGAATTGGGAAGCCGACACCGAAGACGCCAGGAAGAAAGTAGCCAGAGCTGAAGCCGGAAGAATAACTATCCTGCCACCTGGGTGCCGGTAGGCAGCCCCACCCCCGTTCCATGTGGCCTTAGATTAGGAATTAATTGTATTTGACAAATTGCCTGTAAACCGCTCAGAGACCTTCGGGTCTGAGCGGTATATAAATTGAATGCATAAATAAATAAATAAATAAATAAATAAATAAATAAGATGTCCCACAAAGGAGCCTCCACCCCCTCCTGAGGCAGTCTGTTCCACTGCTCAACCACTTTCACAGTTAGGAAGTTTCTCCTGATATTTCGCTGGGATCGACTCCCTCGTAACTTCCACCCATTAGACTTGCAATCCGGAGCAAGAGAGAATAGATCTGCTCCCTCTCTTTCCCAGGCTAAACAGACCCAAACTCTTTCAGCCTTTCCCCGTAAGACTTGGATTCCAACCCCCTCACCACCCTGGTTGCCCTCTTCTGGACATGCTCGAGCTTGTCAACGTCCTTCCTAAAATGTGGTGCCCAGAACTGCAACCCAGAATGAGCTGCCTGTCAAGAAGAGACTGACCATAGCCACGGGAAACGCAGTCAAGTGTGGCCTGCTCCCCACGGCCACTGAACTCTTCAGCCTGGTCCACCAAGGCTTCCTTCACCGCATCGTATCCACGCAGCACCACGGCCCGCCGGGGCCCCAGATGGATGGTGTAGACGGGGCCATATTTGTCACTGATCTGAAAGAGAGAGAAGAGCACCGTGTTGAAAAGAAACAGAGGAGGAGGAAGGGAAGGGAATTGTTGGGAAATAAGACCGGTCTGATAGCAAGACAAGCAAGTTATATAAAACAGAGAGTGCCAAAAACCTGGGATGCTCACCAAAAAGATACTTGAATTGTTTTCATTTGCACTTTTTAAGATTCTTTACAGATTTTCTGTACTATAGCCATCACGCCTGTTTGGATTCTTCTTTCAGTTTTGTTTCCTTGCATTGAACCGTGATTTTTTTTAAAAAATAATACTTTTTATTTATTGTATGAAAATTAAAACAAGATGCAATACAAGAACCATAACATGAAATATGCAGTACTTGACTTACAATATAAAAGGTTTTGACAACTGTAAGATTTGTACAATTTTTGTGTAATTCCGTAGTATTTTATTACTATTGTTCTCCTTTTCTTATTTCCTTCCTTTTCAGTTTTTTCCTAGGGTTTGTTTTAGTTTGATGGAACAATAATGAGAGAGCAGATCGATCTACCCAACTCGTTTGGTTAACATTGGCTGCGGTCACACAAGCCAGATAGTGCAGGGGGGAAGAGAGGCTATTTGCTCCGTAGCAATTTGACCCGCATTTGCGCGATCACACTGTCCTGGTTCCCTAGAGAGGTTTCCGACACTGGGGAAATCAAGTACTTTCCAGGTATTTGTGCCTTGAATCCACGATTTTGCCTATCTGGACAGCCATCTCTCACAATGATTACGATTAGGTCATCTGGACGTCCTTCTTACAGTAGGTTTTTCTTTTGCAACTTTCACCATTGTGTGCAATTGCCAAGCCTGCCGGCGGATCTGCACTAGAAGAATCCACGCCACTGACGATCCCCCACCGCGGGGGAGGGAGGGCTGGGGGGAGGGGAAGCAGAGGATCACAGGGGAGGGGGCCCGCAAAACCCATGGGGGGGGCGTTGGCCCCACGCGAGCTACGGGCCTGGCCCTGAGCCTTGCTATGCAGGGGAGGGCAGGCTAGAAATACAATAAAGTAATGAATAAATGAATTAATGAATGAATAACAACTTGGGGAAGTGTGAGAATTGCCACCCAAAAGGGTTTTATTAATTGCTTTTGAAAACTGTTATTTGGGAGGGGTGAGCAGGGCGATTACACTGGGCTTAGAGAAGTCTCACCTGTTAGTGGAAAGTTACTGGTAGATCCGAACCGTTTGGCAAGGGATCCTGAAAACTGAGGAAATTCATTATGTGTTTAAATCTAAGCCGGTTTCCAGTTTCCAGTCCCAAGTCAATCTTCTGAAATCTATCTCTGCAATTGTGTGCGATTCAAGCTTTTAAGAAAGAAAACACTAGGAAATACATCTTCCAGGAAAAAGAAAACCCACAGGTAGAAACGTGTTTTGGATTAACACTGGGATGAGTTATGAAATCTGGTTAATCCCTTGGCAATGGGTCTCAGTGTGAGCCAGCCAGGACACATGGACTTTCTCTGCTTCGATTCGTCACGGTCCCCCTTCCCACCCGTGGGAGCTGCCGTGCTCAAACAACTGAATCTCTTTGGTCAGTGCAATATTGGGTTCTCGATCTCATTTGTGCGCACTACAGCCTCCAAATGTCTCTGAGCAATTATTTATTCTGACGACAACCCTGTGAAGTAGGGCACTCTGGAAGAGGGTGGCTTCAGGGACGGCCACAATTGCATAGCTGAGTACAGGATCAGCCACCGCCCCCCTTCCGAGCTCCGGTCTCTCTTCTTCCAGACCTTCCCAACAAATTCTGAGGGGAGACTGTGAACATTCTCAGACAAACACAGGAGGTTTGACAGGACCAGAGAGACTGGCTGGTTTCTCATTTTTTTCCCACTGGCTTCAAATGAAGATGTCATTTACGGTGTGACCCAAGGCCAGCAAGAGACCTGTCCACCATGTCTCGAAAGCTATCCGTGCCAGTGTCTACCGTGTCTGGAAAGCTATCTGTGCCAGTGGTTTTTATTAATTAAATAATGGTTACCATGCTTAATTTCAGACCTGCCCTTTTACCGCCAGTTTCGCTCCTCAGTTGTTATTTGGCATCTTAGGGAACTGTTGGTAGCTTTATTTTTAAAATTGTTGGCAGCTTTCTTAAACACCCAGGGAAATGCTGATTGCCCCTTTGGGGCCAGGAGGCAATTTTTCTCCAGGTTGTTTTGGCTGGAGATCCTGGAGGTTTTTTGTCATCTTCTGGGCATGGAACAGGGGTCACTGGGGGTGTGGAGGGGGAGGTATTTGTGAATTTCTTGCCTTGTGCAGGGGGTGGACTAGATGACCCTTGAGGTCCCTTCCATGATTCTATGTAAATTTGATTAATTACTTTTGTGAGCAGATATACATGCTTTAAATAACTAAGCAACTAAAATACCACGGCCCGAATGCTGTAAATTTCTTAATAACACAGGAAAGGACTTTCTTTTTCTCCATTCTTGACTGGGCAAATATTTTCACAAGTTCTCTGAGAGGGTATGAATAACCACTCACAACGTGCTCTCGCCACACCATTCAGGACTCTGTCAACCTGCCTATCATGCTCACCTATTACTTTCTTTTCTACTAAAACCCCCCCCCCCAGCTCCTTAAACCAGTCTTCATAAAGATGCACTCATCAGGCAGTGAAATCACCCCGTAGTCATAATGCACAAAGATATTAAAACATAAAGCGGTGCCGTATGTGAATAGATTTAAAGAAGAGGAGCGTGAAGGGTCAGAGTTAGGAGATGCTGACAAGAGAGAAGAGGAAACAGACGGTTTGATCTAGAGTCACGTTCAGAAGCAAACCAGATGTTTAAGGATTCTGTGAGTAGGTAGTCTTGTATTCTAGATGCGTGTGTGTGTGAGATAGAAAGAGGGGGACACGTAGAAGGGATTACCTTCACCAGCGAACGGTGCATGTCCTTCAAGTTGACCTGCAGCAAGTTCCCAATAAAGGGCAGGGGAGTTGGTCCAGGTGGCATCTTGCTCTTCCCGCGCATCTGTCGCCATGTGGAGAGGGCCATTAGGCAAGAGAGGCAGATGATGAGGAAGACGGTCCCGGCTCCGAGGAGATCCATGGCAGCTGAAGGAACTCTGCGGGCAGCTGACTGTGCCTACGCAGCTGGAGAGGATCTCATATAAACTCCGTCTCTGGAAACCCAATAGCCCCAACCAACTCTTATGCAATTTGTTTGCGCTCTAGTCTCCACCTTGGTTCTCTTTCAAGCCAAGCCAAAAGTTCAGAGGTTTTTCTGGATAACGGGAGAGGTTGCCGGGCCCGTTTCCCATGCCTCCTGTGGAATTGGGAAGGAGAGCAAAATAGGAAAAATACCGGGCGGGGAATTTCCTTCAAGACAGAGGGTGTCCTCCCCGTATAAATGGCCTCCCTCTTTCGCAGAGAGGAGACCATAGGACTGAACTTAAGGATGTTCCCCTCTAATGGCAGATTCAAGGTGATCTACATATTTTGATAGGCTCCTTCTCAATCATCATGGAAACCAAGTGCATCTATAGAAACAAAGCCTTTAAGGGTCGCTATGCTGGATTGGACCAATGATTGGTCCAGCATCCTGTTTCATACAATGGCCAACCAGATGTCCCTCATGATCTACAAGCAAGATTGTTGGACTGGATGGGCCATTGGCCTGATCCAACATGGCTTCTCTTATGTTCTTATGTAACTAGTGGGCAAAAGGTGGGGGGTTTGGTTTTTTTTTAATTGCCTATGAACTTGGAGCTTCCTTCCATCTAGTCTTTCTGGCTAATAATTGATGGCTCTATCCCCCCAGTCCCTTGAATAGCCAGCTGAACCAGGTGCCCATCGTTCTACCCTGTGGCAATGGATTTCAGAAGTGAAGAAATACTTATTCGGATCACCACCACAGAGGAAAGCTAACGCAACCTTAGGATGCATGAACAGAAGCCTTGTGTCCAGATCACGGGAGGTGGTCGTTCCGCTCTGTTCTGCTATGGTCAGGCCTCCTCACCTGGAGTCCTGTGTCCAGTTTTGGGCACCACATTTGAGGAAGGATGTTGACAAGCTAGAGCGAGTCCAGAAGAAGGCAACCAGATTGGAATCCAAGTCTTACGAGGAAAGACTAATTTAATGGGATAATAGTTGTGAGATAATAGTTGTTTAGCCTGGGAAAGAGAAGGCTTAGAGGGGACATGATTGCAGTCTTCAAGTATTTGAAGGGCTGTCATGTGGAAGAGGGAGCAGATCTATTCTCTCTTGCTCCGGATTGCAAGACTAGGTCTAATGGGTGGAAATGACAAGGGAGTCGTTACTGGCTATATATCAGGAGAAACTTCCTGACTGTAAGAGTGGCTGAGCAGTGGAACAGACTGCCTCGGGAGGTGGTGGATGCTCCTTCGCTGGACGTTTTCAAGCGGAGGCTGGATGACCATCTTTCCGGCACGTTGTAGGGCTGTCCTTCGGCTGTGCTCCTGCAGAGTGCAGTGGACTGGACTGGATGACCAGCAAGGTCCCTTCCAGCTCTAACATTCTATGATTCTATGAGGCTCTCTCAGCTCGCTGCGCAACTGGGCCTGGCTGGCAAATTGAGCAGGAAGAGGCAGATACCCCCCCTCCCTTATTATATCGAGCCCCTCCATGTGTCCCCCTTGCAGTTCCAGCTCAGCCAGGCCTCTTCCTCAACGGAGCTGCTCTTGGGAACGTCTCCTTATTGCTCCATGGTGTCTGTTTGTTTCTTCTTTTTTGTTTTGATGTGGGAGGGCCAAGGGCTCCCCCCCCGGGCTCTCCCCCTCACCTTCTTGGGGAACCTCCTCCAACTGGACCACATGAATAGGGATGGATGGGGGGCATTTTGTAGGATTGCCTGGTCCCCCCCCCCCCGGCCCCCCGGGGGGGGGGGGGGGAAATCGCCCAAACAGTTTGCATATGCTTACATCATGGTTAAAAAAGAACTGCTGGGGAAAATAGTCATGGAAGTAAACTCAAAGCTCCTGATCTGCAGCATGAAGCAGCATTTAAGAATAACAATCTAAAGATCCCCTGCTTCTCTGTCTTCTTGTCAAGAAAACTATACCTGCATTCTTCCCCCTACCCCCACCCCCAGATCAAGGCTTACTGTGTATGGCCTTTGTCTCTGGAAGGAGCAATTATCTCCTTCTGTTTACCTTTCCTTGCCCTGAGGCTAAG